CCCCAAAACCCCAAAACCCCAAAACCCCAAAAGGTAGGGGTTATTATAATTATTTAGATATAAAATAATTTACTTTAAATTTTTTGTAAAATTGCAAAAAATATAATTAAATGAAGGATATTAATTAAAACATTGCATTATTGCCTGAAGATCATAAAAATAGATAGAAATACGAGGATGCTCGCTCAATGAACCATAAAGGTCCAATTAATGATTATCTCAATTTTGGCAAAGCATTTATGTGCTCTTTAGGATTTTTGGGTCTATATACTACTATCTATAGCGCCTAAAATATTTAAACAGTTGTTTTTCAGAGAGATGGATATGATAGCTTGGGCTTTTACTCAAATGCTGTGGCATATCTATTTTAAGGACTTGGAAGTGTTTTTTGCGTGTTTATCTAGGAAAAGATTGGAGATATTTTAACTATGGCGTATGGAGCTGTTCTCAACATTCCATTTATGATTATAATCATCTTACCAGCATTGAAATCAGAAAACCTCAAGAGTAAAAGCTGGGTTTACTCTAATGGATTCGTTTATGCAATGATTTTACTTGCATCGGTATTCAATGGATTCGGATAAGGTATATCTCAGCCTAGCTCCGGTACCTACATCGCTCAATGTGCAACAGAGAAGACCAAAGGTTTTTTCTTTGCCTTCTACTGGGCGTTTTACATGGGCTCTTAAGTATTTGGCAGTTTAATTGCTGCCTTTGTATTAGGTGCTTTCGACTAAAAATACTTTGTTATTATCATGGCAGTAATAGGAATTGCTTCTTGCATATTACTATTCTTTTTAAAAAAGCCCATTGTTTAGCATCAGCATGACCATCACTTTGCTAAGGAGGACAAGAATCAAATTGATTTGAACGAGGAAGAGAAAGAAAAAGTAGAAGAAGTGAAGAGAGAAAGTGAAGTTAATTAACAAAAAGGTGAAAGTAGGTATTCATTATAGACAAAGAAACTGACCTTAAAGTAAGCAGTTGCATCTATGTGGAAATTCTTTTATAATAAAAGATTCTTAGTTCTTGCTCCTTAATTATTTTGGACTGGCATAAGTATCGCTTATTACTCTGGTAATTTGGTAGAGATGATGTCAGATTCCTTGCAGAAGGATGGCAAAGACGATTAAGAGTAGTTTAAGCTTTCTATGTTGGCTATGGTGCTGTTTGGGGTTGGAGAGATTCTGGGATGCTTCTTTATCGGTTTTATTGTAGATAGAAAGGGTAGTAAAGTTGCGACGATATTCAATCTAGTTATAATTTTGATAATGGGAGCTGTTACCATAACTTTCATTGAAGTCTATAAGTATGGAGCTCTTGCATTCATTATGTGCTTCTTCTGGGGTTTCTAAGATAGTGCGATCAATACTCACTCATAGGAAATTTTGGGATTCGAATTTGATAATAACTCAGAGCCGTTCTCAGTTTACAATATCCTATAATGTGTGGCATGCTTCATTTTTTAGATAATTGAGAGTGCAGTAAATGACTAGGATGATTACAGATGGTATACCATTATGGTTACAGGACTTGGATTCATCTTCTGTGGAATGCCATTCTTCTTTGACTTCCATGAAAAATTAGACACTGAGACAGTGGATGATGACTTTGATACAAGACCCAAGTAATTATCACTTGACAGCAATAGCCAAATAAGTAAAAGAATTCTAGATAGACAGGACTCAGCAGAATAAAAATTTAATGCAGGCATTGGAACAATTAGATCTTCTTCATTAGATAATTCAAACACATCTTTGTCTTTCTCAAATAGCAAGCTTTAAAATTCTGTAACTAAACAACAGAAATTGGTATTCTGAACTGTTATTATAAATAATGAGCAAAAAATATCCAATAATGAAATCAAATTAATTTTTCAATCAATTTAGCATTATAGATACTTCATGGGGTTTTGGGGTTTTGGGGTTTTGGGG